TCAGACTAGATGATCTGTTCAGGTCCCTCCTGACCCTAGCTACTATGAAACTATGTTTGCCAGGCATTTGAGGTGGGTGAAGAAACAGGACGCATTGGAAATACCAAAAAGGCACAGCTTAGTTGTGGGAGTGAAGAGGAAGTCAAAATATATTCAATATAGTGGTAGTGGCTCACTATGACTTAAAAAAGAGTTGGAGCTGAAGGAGACTGTGGTTAATGGGCATATCTATCTATCTTATTCAGATGGACTGTACTACTTTTGTGGTAGGTTCCCACTGCATGTTTGCCCAAGGTGGCACATATTTTGGAGTCATGCTCAGTATCTGCTGCATTTAAATCAACTTCACAGGTGGTTTCCATTACTGGGCACATTCTGCTTTTTAGGAGCAGTTCAAAGACAGATAATGTATCTAATGTGGTTTCCTTATATGCAAATGCAAGACAAGGGGCCTTTGCCCCATGCTAATTTGGGGGGGAGGGGAGGAAATAACCTTGTCTTGTATTTGAATAAATGCGGTAAGTTATTTTGATATTTTATATGCTCTGAAAGAAACTCACAGAGGTAACAATAAAAGACATATTAAAAATTAAACACAGAACTCAGAAGGGGGAAGGGAAGAAGGGAAAAAAAGATTGAGAAAAGTCAGCTTCCTTATAATGCCACTTCACAGTCAAGAGGCAGCAAGTTCAGAACCAGCACACATGTCTATTAAGTATAATACTGAAGTATGTAAAAGTAATTTAAGTGTTTTGTAGTTTCCCTCACTCCTAGTTAGTTGAGATCCAATAATAATCAGCTCTAATATTTTGCCCATGGCTTCAATCTACTTTACAAAGAGGATAAAATTTATGCTTGTAGTCCCAAGAGTTATCAGACTGAACATTACCCAACAGTAAATATTCACCAGATACATAGCCAACCAGATTTAAAGGTTGGATTTGAAAAACAAATGCACTGGTCTTATACATTAAGTTGATCTTACTTATATCTTGTTGTAGACGTCATCTTGTCATGGTTTTCAAGAAAACGCTGGAAGGATTCTTTAGCTTCTTTGTATTTTGACCTCGCTTCTTCTTTTTCTTCCTTTTCTGTCTGAACCTTGTAAGCATTAAAGGCTTGCTTTTTTTCACTCAACTTCGCCAAAGCACTAAATGTCAAGGGAAAAACAAAAACAAACCAGATGCTTAATTACACAAAACTGGAATCAAATTAGAAAAAAAGAATGCAAATCTCATATTAGCATACCTTCAGAACACATGACAAATTTTAATCATGAAAGGTGGTAAAATGAACTTAATTCTATGGAAAAGCACAGAACCAACATGTATATTACTCTACCAGTTTTCATTTCAAGAAACTGCATTAGAAAAAAATAACTTTGTGGGATAAAGAATAAAATAGTAGAGGTGCACCGATACATTGGTCGGATATCAGATTGGTATCAATATAAAGAAAACTGTCTGTATTGGATATTGGCCCAATGGGGCCAATAATTTGGCTAATAAATGTCCGTGCTGCACGCAGCTGCAGTGCAACACAGCCGGCAGCGTGGAGAGCTGCCTCCAGTTGTTAAGTCCAGTGTGGTGGAAGGAAACAGGGGAGGGACACAGATGAACATCCCCTGCATTGAGGGAAGTGGCAGGGGCAGGTGCTGCTCAGGCAGGGCTGGGGCCAGAGTGACGTATTTTGGTGGGGGGGTGGCTTCTGCTGCTGCTTGCACCCCAGGAGGGCACGAGTGGGGTTGTGTGCCCCTCGGATCTGCGCAGGGTGGGGCAGGCTACAGCCGGGGCTGTGCAGGGCTCTTGTTGGTGAGGGTTGGGCTTGGAGCAAGCACTGGCAGTGCTGGGAGAATGCTGCATCCACTCCAAATTTTGCCACCACTCTGCTCCCAGTGCCTGCTTGGACAGGGCCTGTCCCTGATCCCTCCTTCACCACAAGGGGCATTGATCTGCCCCAACACACCCCTTACCAGCTGGAGGCAGCTGTATCAGAAATTGAACTGGTATCAGCCGATATGCCTCCTTAAATATCAGCTATCTGTATCAGCTCCAAAAATCTCTGTCAGTGCACCCCTACAAAACAGCCTTGTAAAGAGGTACTCTATCATCAGAAAACACTTGGACATTCCATGTACAGAAAAATTATTAAGTGTGCTCAACATTTAATAGGTCCCACAGAATTCTCAGCATCTCCATTAAAAACAGAAGGTCCATTTCAGGACAGATTTTCAAAACATATGTAGACCATTTAATTATAGTTGTACTGCTAATGCTGTCATAACATTCATTAGATTTTGGGTCCAAGATCATGAATCATCCCATTAGTCATCTTCATGCAGGTCCCAAGACATGACCTACTTTTGAATGTGTACAAAGAGGCAACTGGCTTAGTATACAAACATCTGTATTAGGTTCAACCATAACTTGTCCATAATGAACTACAATGTAAATTCAAGGATCAAAACAGAGCATATGTTTGTAAACAATGTAGCAGTAAGTAGGAAGTACCTGTATCTTGGATCATTAATGATCATTTTCATAGCTTGTTCCCAGGAGGCATTTGAGGGTACATGCTGTGAAGACATTAAATCAATAATGTGACTACCAGATTTGGCATCAACATCCTATGTTTGTTTCCTCAGAAATATTGAATCTGGGAGGTGAGATCCCTCCAACAGACTTTTCCCTGACTTGATTAGAAGAGTTGTATAGAAATATAATACTTCCCTTTAATAACTTTATTAGTAATATTAAAATGATGTTGTCATAACATCAGTCAACAGAAAAACAAATTTCAGGTTTTAGGCTTATCACTATTTTTATCCTTTGATTCTTCTTCAGGTAACTCCTGCATTACACTACAGTGAAAAATATTCTAGAGGAACTCTAAACAACAGCTATATGGAAAGAAAAATCCAGTATTGACTCATTTTTCTTCCAGCCCACTTGTCTTTTTAATGGTGAGAAATTCAGAGAGTAAATCAAAGAGACAATACTGGTTAAAATACTTTTGATGCTGCAGAGAAGTAATACGGTTAAACGATTATAAAATTTAAGTTATGCAGTTGTCTGTAACAGCAAGATTATGACTTCCTAAGGATGAATTTTAAGGGAAAAATTTTGTCTTTAAATGGAATTTTCTTTAACAATTTGAGAAACAGAAGAAAAAGGAGATAGATTTTAAGGTGTTAGGGTCCACTCCCCTCCTCAGACACTACAAGAACCCGTTCAAATATCTGTTGTTAAAAGAGTTTTTGCTTTTGTAGGGCTGCATTTTTAGAGCCCTGTCACCAAAGTGACAGCTTCACATGGTAACCAAATCAATCATAATTTCTTGGATAACAACTGGAATTTTTACTTGGGTTATTTGGGGGGTTTTACTTGGGTTGCTGGGGGTGGGAGAGGAAAAACAAAAGGAAAAACTGAGATGAGAAAGCCCTAATTAAAACACAAACATCTCTAAGAAAAGACTTAAGTATACTCTTTCTATGGCAAAGTTTTTTTCTTCCTTCAAATCTAAAAGTCAGCTTCTTAATACTGAGATTTTCTTTTGGAAAGGAAGAGAGAAGAAACTCCACTCAAGAAAGCACATTTTGTAGTAATTCTAGAAGTTAAGGTAAGTTGACCCAATTTAAAAACCTTTTCTTTCAAAAGCTCTTTAAATGCTTGTTTTGCTTCTTCTTTTGTATTCCACGTATATGTTTTTTTAACTGGCTGGGCATCGTCCTCCTCTTTTTTGGGAGTAGCACTACAAATAAGAATTGATAAAGAGAATAATTAGACAAGTAAATACATAATGTAGTAGTTTAACAAACAATTGCCATTAATTTTCAAAATAAACAATCAAGAGAACATCGCTGAGAAACAGCATTCATAATTTTAACAATGAACTCCATTTATATAAAGTGCTTATGAGTCAGAAATAAAATACACACTTGTGAAAACCCCAAGCCTCAGATCCAAGTTAAGGATTTCATTACAAACCAACTTTAAAAGTACCTTTCTCTTTAGAATGACAAGATGCTGCTGCAATCAACCACCTGTTCTAGTTCCTTACCTTTCCACTTAAAGTGGGAGAAAAGGTAAGGCATTACCTATGAAGGGATCTTGCCTTTGCCACTTACCATTAACCGTCAGTCTCCTGACCTCCCAGCTGCAACAAGTTCTCAGGCTTTCAGTGATGAAAGGCAAAGTGTGTATAGTTTGTGTCTCAAGGAAGAGATCATATACACCTTTATAGCCGTTCTAATTTACTTGGATTGTTTAGCCGAAACATTTTTTCTTATTATACACAAGAGCGTAGGCATTTCAGAAGTACTGCCCGTTTAAACTGCACTTGGGTCAGTAAGAAGTTTAGTAATTTTTCCACAGTGACAGTGTGAACAGCTATGTATTCTAAACATTTATCCAGTATCTCTCAAAACATTTCATATTTCTTTAAAATAAATTATAAGCCATAAGAATTTCTTATCAAATTTGTAATGAGATGAAGGACCAGTTAAAGATTTAAGGGAAATTGGTTGGGTTTTTTTAAAAAAAGGACTGAGCGCCTTTTCTGCACTTTTTTCTTACTCATTTCTCTTTGCAAAGTCTGACCTGCTTCCCCACCCCCTTCTCCTCTCAGAAAAAAAATGTTAGCCAAGAGAAACTCTAGTGTTTAGAACCTTGTCTCCCTTCTGGAACTCTCAACACTTAAGAATGTGTTAGACAACTGCAGCCAACTCAAGTCACAGGATTTTACTTACTCTGCTGAACCCTCCTGCTTTAAACCTTCCTCTACTGTGTTTGTGACAGTTTCTGCATTCTGTTCCTGTACAACGGGAGTAGCATTGGTTTGCTGCACTTGTTCATCAGCTGTAGCTGTACCTGTACTTTCATTTTCTGCAGCAGTTGCAGTAACACTAGTAGCAGCAGCAGCTGCAGAACTAGTAGTAGAAGCAGTTTCACTTTCTGAGGCAGCTGTTGCAGCAGGGGTGGCAGTAGCTGCAGTAGCAGCTACAGCAGTTTCAGCAGCTGCAGAAGTGGTGGTGCTGGTTGTTGTATTGGTTACTTCTGTTGCAATAGCAGCTGTAGATGTAGTTGGAGTTGATTCTTCTGGTTTGCTGCTGAATATATCAAAAGAGAAATAGAAAGAACAATTAAATAATCATTATGTCAATTAAGCTTCAGGGAAAAGAACTTCCTTTAACTGAAATATCTAAAATACACAGTTAGTAGACCCCACCTTACAAAATGTTTTTCCACAAGATAATAAGGAACAAAAAATAAGGTTATAAGGACAATCTTCAAAGCAGAAGTACTTTCAAGATAATACAGCTGAAGAATAAAATGAAAAGTAGACAAGAATGAAGGCAGATGCCTTTTTTTTTTTTTTTTTTTTTTAAGGGATCAGGGAAATACTTTTTAAAAATAGAAAGGCACATTATACATTTTGTATTGATGACAAGTTTTTAAGTGAACATACCTGTTTTCCTCTGCTTTAATCATCGCTATAAGGAAAGGAAAAATATATTTCAAAACAATTTTTTTCAAAAGCGGCTTATGTTTAGGAAAGTTATTGTTGATATTTTAAAAAGGCAGTATGTATAAGTAGATCATTATTTTAAATATGCTTCAATAACTTTAAAAAAATTATTAGAATTAAATTATGCAAAATCAAATCATAACATAAGAACTCCTACCAAACAGTTTTTTGCAACCCCCCGCTGCTCTTTTGTGGTAATTTTAAAAGCTATTAGGGTTAACACACGTGAGGTTTAGTCAAATTCTTTTGATAATCTTTTCTATCTAGATTTTATCTAGTCAATGTTTTCTTCTTTAATTATATATTTAACTTCTCATCTGTGATCTAACCTTCCTTTAAATAAACAAAAAATTCTATATATTTCTTGACTGAAGTTATTTTACCTTCAATATCAAGATAAAATATTACCTACACAAACAGTAAACGGAGCAGTACATGTCACCTGTTCAAGGCAGGAGGCTACTTTTTTTTAAATAGTCAGAAGGAAATCCAAATGTGATGTAAATTTATATTCCTACCTCTTGTGACCCAATATTTTTCAAACAAAGAAGCATCTCTGGATGCATGGTTTTGACTTCAACATTAATTTTATCCAACATTAAATCATCCAAAATAATGATGAGTAATAATTAGTTAAATATTATGATTTGTTTCCTTTTTATCAAAAGGATTTACCAAGGAAAGCTAGTGGTAATGTTTATATTAAACTACAACAACAAGCATTATTAGTAGTTTTAGTACACTGCAGATGACATTGTAACAGCGAAGAATTTAATATATGAGACTACTGATGCTGAAACAAGAACAGGTTTCTGCTTTATAATTATTTACTGAACAAGTTCCCTCACTTATTTTACTCCACTCAGTTTCTAATAAGAATTGCTTCAACAGTAAGACAACACTGCAAATAGCTCACATATAAACAACATTTTCAAAATTAACAGATTTTCAGTGGCTATGTTACCTTCAAGATCCTCAAGTTCTTTAGGTTTTGCCCACCGTGACTCTTTTGTTTGGGAATTATAGTAGTAAGGCTTTCCTGAATCAGATTTGTACTCTTTCCAAGGGCATTTAGATAATAATTGCTGATGCACAGAAAAAAAATGCACAGAAAAAATTCAAAATCATATTATATCAATTTTGTAACACTAAAAGATTTCTACAAAACAATCTCTAAAATAAACATTACAACAACAAATCTTAAATGTTAGTACATACAATGAAAAACATTTCTCAAGAACAGTAACAAGCAAACCCAATAACATTTTAATTCCAAAAGCAGAGGACCCTAAAAATCTGTACTTTATACAAGCACTGATTTTTGAAGTTCTGAAACAATTTATTTAAATTTTTTGCTATAAAAAGACCTCTTCATGCAATTATAAATGCAAAGCTTTTCTAGCATTTATAAAATCAGTTGGATTAGTTTTGGGGTCTTCTGTGTTCAGATGCAAGATTCTGAAATAAAAATTCTGATCCATGTCACATGGTGGGCATATTATGCCACTTATGCTAGGTGGTTATCTACACAGGAAAATTTACCAGTCTAACTATACCAGGACAATCATTGCTGCTGTTATAACTACTGTTTTGCACCAGGATAACTTCACTGTTAAGTTTTTGTCCAGATACAAGCTCAGAGTAAACCATTCCAAAGCTTTCATTTGACCTCAATATACCTCAGCAGGTGTTTTAAGATCATCTGGTTTCTCCCATGTGGATTGCTTTGTTTCAGTATTGTAATAATAAGTTCTTCCATCAGGTGATTTATGTTCAGTCCATACAGATTTCTAGGAAAACATAAAACAGACCATCAACGAGGTATAAAATGTGCTTTTCTCTGGAATGGTTTAAAAAATGCTGACAGCAAAATTAAATACAAAGGGAAAATGGTGAAACCTGTTTAGACTGGTCTTCAGTTACCGAACTGTTGACTGTGGTGGTTTGCTGGGCTGAACAGACTACCGAATGTGCGGTCTGAGAAAAAGAAGAGACATTTCTGGAAATGCATACCCATTTCTCCTGTTCATTTTAAAAATGCCAAATAAAAAAGCACTAAGTGAGAAGCTGGTAACCTTCACAGGAGCCTATAGATGTAAGTATGGCAAAAACATTACAACTTTGACCCTGTTTCATTCAGAGTTAAAGTTCCATTGATTTTGCTCACTTATCCCACTGTAGTAGCATAAAGGCATAGCAGACACCTGTGATGATGCCTACTCCCAAGAGACAATTCTTCATTCCTCCTTAAAGTGCTTAGAAGTTATATCTGCCCACAGCCTTGAGACCAAGTGTGCTAAAAACCAAACATTAATCCATCAGAAACCCAATACAAAGGGCCATGGCAATTACAAAGGGCCATGGCACACCACACATTCTGGTCCAAACTCTAGTCCTTCAAAATAATGACTTGCTAAATTTATAGAAGACAAGACTACAATGAAGGGATGTGGTTGCCACAGGAATACATATGCCATTGGAGCTTTTAAACTTCTTATACTAGTTGTGGACTGGCATTCTGATGATATATTTTTTAAAAGCTTGGAAGCTTCCCTGAGCTTGGAAACTGATCTATAATGGGTGAGGACTGAGTGAATTTACACAATCGCTGTATTTCTATTAAGGCTTCTGAAGCCTTATTTTGCTTACCTGAGTTCCTGGAGGTGTTGTACCTACAAAAAAATATCAGAATGAGAAAACAGACAAGTAAATAGACAAGTTATATTTTTCCCCCCATCCCAGCTTACTACAAAAGCAGCTTACTGTAAAAAAGAAAAGAAAAAAAAAGAAAAAAAAAAGATTTCAAGAAAACTGAAGAAAAGTTATCAACCAGTGACTGCAGTTCAAGCAGATTATCCATATGGATTAACATTGCTGGAACAGTCAGGCTTATAGAGACATCCAGTCAAAACTCTTCAGAAAACAGTGTACAGCTGCTAAATGCATCTCCTTGAAGCACTGACTGTTTGAGATGAGGGTATACAATGAGACATGACCTCCCGCAAACACAACTTCTGCTTATACAGACCCCAGTTCAAGGAAGCAAACTATTTAGAGCAGGAAATAAGCGTGGGCTTACCTTCCATTGTGCTTAACTTCCAATGGAGACTCGATGTGCTTAAGTATTTTCCTGAACCAGACCCTTGGAATTTGAAATAAGGACTCCAATGAAATTAACATAGAGGGACAGAAATGTGGATAATCTACTTCAGGAACTACAGTTACTGGTAAGTGACCTTTCTTTCTCCTTCAGTATTTCAACTAAATAACCACTCTTGGAAATCAGCTAACTATAAGTCCTTCCTGTAAGTGAGAACTTGGTTAAATAATTATGGAAGAACTGCTTTCCTGAATTGTGCATCAGTTACGTAAGCCAAGTTAAGAGAGTTTTGAATATGCTCAAAGCCCCATGTAGCCATCCTCCTCCTTACCATTATGGAGTAAATATTTGAGGAACAGTTTACAAACAAGTAACTTTGCCTCAGAAAGTCAATTATTGATTGCATCAGTTTCACTAGTAAATTTAACTCAACTCTTACAATCAGGCAAACTTTTCTCTGAAGCAGTAGCTCTCAACCAGAGGACGCAAGGACTTGCCAAAGGTGCCGTGATGTCAGCACCAACACCACTATCGCACAGTAAAATTTTCCCATGAGCTTCTTTTCAGGAGGCATGTCAGAACCAAACTGAGAAGCAGCAGCAGCAGCAGCAAGGTGCTCCTCCTTGCACTACATTATGCAGGTAGGCATGCTGTTTCTGCTACTGCTTTTCGCAGTTTGACTCTGATTTGCCTCCTGAAAACAAAGGTGTATGGGGAGTTCTACCTGGGAGTGACAGCAGACTGGAAATAAATGCTGCATAATGTAATACAGGCAGGCACGCCTTTCTGCTGCCACCACTTCTCAGTTCAGATATGACATGCCTCCTGAAAACAGAAGCATGTGGGACAGAGTTCCATCTGCCCCGCGTTCTCTATCTCTGTCGGGATACTGTGCACAGTTGAACAGGGAAGAGCTGTGGCAAGAGCGTTTGCTCCTGCTACAGCCACTTCCCAATCTGGCTCCGCAGGACATGTGCAGTGCAGCAATGTGGTGAATATAATATGCTGATCTAATCAAATACTAATGAATAACAGAATTATAATGTTCATCTTATAAATAAGCATATTTTAAAATATTTTTTTAAGTGGAATTCTGTTAATTTTGGAAAAGTTTTGGAGGGGTGCTGCGAGTGTAAAAAGGTTGAGAACCACTGCTCTGAAGAATACGTGCCAATCTGGACGTGTGATTATTCAAGGGGCAAGAAAAGAGACATGACTTTAAATGCACTCTGGTCTCAACGTTTAGTACTGTAGTTAAATTCAGGCTGATTGGGTGTCCCAGTAGCAGAATCTAGAACAGAAGACAATACTTGAAGGAGGGAAAAAACACACACACCTCAACACACCACAAGCTAACAATGCCATGAGCTAACTGTTAAATGTGTGAAATAATTAATTTAAGATTAAATGCATTCAAGGAAACAGAAAAGACATGAAATAAGGTTATTAAGTATATAAAATGGATGATACTTTTTACTTTTTTTTCCTATGAAAGATCTCTCTTTTCTGAAATGTACTAGGAAAGAAAACTAAGAGCTAAACATAATACCCAACTATCCCCCCTTTATTTATATAAACTCTCTACAGCTTCATTTACACCATTTTTGAAAACTTAAAACCTTTATTTTTCTAGGATACTTAACAGAATTTTGCTTGAAAGGCTTTAAAAATATAATGGATTGTTGATACATACCTGCTTGCGTATCCATACTGTTCACTCCTGGCTGTAAAAAAAAAAAAAAAAAAAAATCAACAGATTTAAAACACATAACATAATTATATTAAATGCACTAAACATCATACAAATCCAGTGATTCTCATCTAAGGTGCTGTGATGCCCTTGAAATCCCTGGGATGCCTTAAGATCCTTTCAAGGATGCTGCAGGGTGTCTCACAATGTGAGCATTAAGTGTGCAAACATAATTCACGTGATAAATCAAGAGATTTCAAACAGGAATTCACAGGGTTAAAAACATTCTGACCTGTTATGGTCTTACTAGGTTCTTTGCAACAGAAGAATTGTTCTATTATTCTTCTGTAGTCAAAAAACAAGTGAAAATGACTTGGCATTCTCTGAGAGGCGCCTCGAGTCTAAAAAGGTTAAGAACCACTATATTAATCTGTTCAAATGCAACAACTCCAGAATCCAAAGACCGGTTTAACTTAAATATGAATTCTTTCCCTTTTCCACTATGTGACCTGAGAATTCCAGTTCTATAAGAACTAACGAGGGATACACTGAATCGCTTTTCAGAAAAAAGGCAATACATTTACTAATTCAATTCAATGTATTGCCATCTTTCTACACAATCAAAAGCACTCTGCATAGCTGCAAAAGCCATTATCCAACACAGGGTGTTGTATAATACTTTTAGGCTTCACTAATTCAAAAAAGTTTCTGCCCCTGTAAAAGAGATGGTCTTTAGACACAACTGGAAGCAACTTTTTTTTTTTTTTTAGCTTTAGGCGAATTAAACTTACTGAAACTAATCCATTGGTTACTTTGGTTTACTAAATGTTTACAATATTTATGTTACAAAGAAATAGTATTCTAAGTGGATTTCAACTTTTAATTTTGTTGTACTTATAATATGCTCTGAGGAATCCAGGACCTTAATGAGTGAGGTTTTAAATAAAAAAGTTTTACATAAAAATCAGGAGAGGGACAGTATGCTAAACGCTTTTAAGCATTTTTCCTGACTTCACAAAAGTTCAGGTAAAGCCATAACTTGAAATTTATCATTTACTGGAGTCAATCCTTTGTTATTTAATTTTTTTAATGCAGCCTCAAGACATAATTAAAGATGAGCAAACCACATTACATGTTAGCACATTCAATAAAAGACACATCCAGCAAAGAGCAATTAACGTTATTTGAGTATTTATTTTACCAAATCTTGCTCCATGCACTCATTTACTTGCAATAAAACTCTGAACATTTTACTCACTATATAGCTGGATTTTATGTATAAGCTATAGCCCCATTTAATTTGTTTATGAGGTAAATAATCCTTTTTGAAGATGGCCTACATGAGTGGTTTAACATTTTCAAAGCATGGATAGAAAAGAATGACACAAATGATAAATAAGAGTTACCAATAAACTGATTGGTCATGTGGGAAAGCACATTTAATCAATTTCCAGATACCCAATTTCAGACGTAAGCAATTTCAAATTGGGTTTATCTGGAGTGTGAGGAGGTTTCCTGTTATTTCATCCACCACCTGCTTGAAAGTATTTCTATGGCACTGTGGCCCCTGGCAGATATTCAGTTAAAGATACCATGGAATCTGATGCACTACACCCACAATCACATTTCGTGCCATACGACATGTGAATGGAAGGAGGTGTGATTGTGGGATTGGGGATCAGATCCCAAACATGCTGTAGTGCCAATGCAGGGGGGGTAATGATCCCAGGCTCCCCCTGCACTGGAAGTTAGCAAAACAGTCAGCTGATCCCAGTTCCAGCCTTGGGAGCATATAGGTGTCAAGGGCTCCAATTCACCCTTGAGGCTAGGAATGCCAATCAGCTGACTGCTACTCCCAGCCTTGGAAAAGGGAGTAATGCGTGGTGTGCAACACAACCCTCAACTCTTCCGCACCCCTGAGGCTGGCAGCCACTGCTGCTTCCAGCCTTCAGGGTGCAGTGGGAGCCTGGGTCACAGATGCTGGAACAGTCAGCTGATCTGCACTCCCAGCCTTGGAAACACATGGAGCTGTTGACTGTGATGAGTCCGTGAGGCTGGGAGCTGATGCTTGGCCACTCGTGCAATTTAAGGCACAGTGGGATCCAGTCACAAAATTATTGCAGATATTTTGTCTAATAACTTTGGGACTTATTCCCGTTTTATCATGCCATTAACTGCATTAGCATGTGACCAGGTTGCTACTTAAGACATTAACTGGTTAATCATGTCTGAAGTGTACCATCTGCTTATGGGCTGCATAATTTATTTATTTTTAAAAATTATTTTTCTGAATGAAGCTCTTCCATCACACCTCATTCCTTCCAAGTAGTGAATACAGACGCCTGAACAAAGTCACTGTATTTCCAAATACAATGGTTCCAATTACTTTTCTGGAAATTAAAACTTTTACGATAGTAAATGCAATGCCTATAACAATGTTTAGCACTATATTTGCTAACAGAACCAACTCAAAGTGCACTGGAGTCATTACATAAATCTCACCAGTTTCAATGATCTTTGGATCAGGCTTTATATTTATAGAAAACACAATGCTGGTTGTCTGATGTGCTGTAAATTACCAGCCTTGTAGGCATGCACCTACAAAAACAGGTAATCAACTCCCTTTTTTAGATCTAAAAAGTTACTTTAGCTACAAGAAAGAACATTATTATTCTTCATATTCTAAAATAGTTTAATTGTTTATTTCCCTAACTACTACATTTGTAAGTTTTAGTTAACTGATTTATGTAGTTCAAGGTTTAAATCTAGATATACTAGGTATAATATACCATCCCAACTCCTTTTAAATCTCCTTTGACAACAATGTATCTGGTTTCCAAAATTTCTTCAAAACTTCCAAAAAACAACCTTGTTGGAAACCCATGCTGAACCTGCAAGCAAATTGCTGATAGTTCTGTTCTTGGTTACTTTTATTAAAGGATTTAATGGAGAAGTTTCTAAAACTTGTTCAAAATTGTATACTTAGTATCCAATATTTTACTATTATTTTGTGAAAGCTCGAAAGCCGGACTTAACTCTACAAAACTGGGAATAGCATCCTAAGCAAACGATACATACTACTGAGTAATATAAAAGCAATTAAATTAACCGAGACAGATGGAAATTGAAAAAGAGATCAAGACAAGTTTAAAGATTACCGGGACCGTTGGCTGCATGGTAGCTTGGGACATATGGGACATCATCATTCCAGGCATCACTGACTGCATCATTCCAGGCATCTATGATTAAAATATTACTGTCAAGTGGGTTTCAGGTAATACATTGCACCAATATGAAGCCTCTTTATGATGAAAGGATGCCAACACCTAACTATTAATCTACACAGGAAACATGCCTATTAAGTACCCAGACAGAGTAAACATGTATGTATAAGAACTGTATACATGTAACATGTATGAAGTTATACAATTCTCCTTAAACTAACATCATAAAGTCAGAAAATAGCTTAAATCTCCTCCAATAAACTTTCCAATTTAATTGATGCACCACACACTAAGCATATATTTCAAATTCACCTATGAAATATCAGTAAAGGAAGCCATGACACTTGTCATTAACAGTACTATCCAGATCAAAGGCAAATCAACAAAAGATAACAAGGTGTATGATCAACTGATGGCACTCTACCCTGTCATGTTGGAACCCTGAAGCAAAACAGGAAAAAAAAATCAACTTTATGGAAAGATTTCTCAGAAATACCAGAGTAAAACAAGAAAACCAGGTAAATATCATAAATGCTAATTCAGGCTCTAAAACTGGTTCCCTGTTTTGGTGCAACTCTGAACCTGAATGTCTCTGCTTACTCTCACCAACAGGCTAAACATAATACCAAAAGTACTTACTTCACAGAAGTATTATAAGAACAAATACTTGTAAGACTTTTCAAGCTTAGACAGTGCTATTGGAGTTAAATATTCCTGATACAGAAGTTCTTGAACTGTTATAAAAAGTCTAGAAAAACAAACAGTATTAGCTAGTTTGAAATGCTTCCTTTAAAATAATACTAATATGGTAAAGGGACAAACCAGCACTCATTACATGAAAGTTAAAGTTCAGATTTCTTTAGGGCTACGATATGTGCTCTCAGGAGACAAAAACCTGTACTTAATATTTGATCGGTCAACTTTTTACTTGAGCCTTGATACTCTTAAAAGCCATCACCACAAACCTGATGTACGTTTCAGGTTTGTTTTTAAACAGCCTGAAAGTTTCCTTCATGTTTTGCAATCTCCCTACACTTTTCATTGGCTCAGGCTACTAGGAATGGATAAGCCATACACACATGTGGAAAAGGGAACAAATACCAAGTGCTATATTCATCTGGTCACTAATTAATCTGCCCCCAAAAAGGTCCTGAAAATTCAACCCCCTTTATCTTTCAGTTATCCCCTTTTACCTTTATAGTCCTTGGCAGGCTGGCCAAGTGACCCCATCCCCCTTTATCTTCAGGGACCATCAGGTAACCACTCTCCTCATCTTGTATCTTGTGCGGAGAGAGGGATATTTGGAAGGGCTACTGCTCCACCCTCAATCCATAAGGCTTCCTTGGGAGGGTGAGGAAGAAAGGAAAGTTTGGAAGGCGGCCCCTCCTATTCCTCGCCATCCTGTAGAAGCAGGAGAAGAAAGTGCTCTTGCCCCACTGCTACTTTCAACTAAGTGGGATCTGAGAATGTGAAATTTCCTACAAGCCCTTGCAGAGGTACCTAAAAAAGCCTTTGCATTCTTCACTATTTTGGAGCCTTTATGTATCTAGAGTAAATCTAGCTTCCTGGGATAATATCAGAGTTATACTCAGGTCTAGAGCCTCTGTGGATTGAAGACAGGGGAAACAATTACTCTCATTCTCATGAGACTTTCTCATAAAGTAAGTAGGGCAAGCACCCTACTAGTTGGTCATTCTAAGACAAAATGAATGGGCCACTTGTCCCACCAAAACACCCAAGAAGAGAGTTAACAAAGAGCGTCTCCACCCTGAAAGCTTCATAAATAAAGCACTTGCCAGAGATAGGGCTCTAGCATCCAAGGAGACAGACTAACTTATTTATAGGGCTATAAACGTAGAGGCAGTATAGAAGCCTACTGGCCATACAATTCATCATGCCTCTACCTCTCTCCCACCCTAAAATTCTTCTATCATACCTAGCAGAAACTTCCTGGCTAAATTATTTCATTACAGATTTTGTTCATATATGTTTAGTGAACTGCTCATTATGTGGAAAGAAGAGTTAGAGATAATGACGCAAGAAAAATGGAATACAGGCTAAAAATTACTGGAAACCTTTTACTATTAAAAAACACATAACCCTTCCCTGTGTACTTAGTAAGATATAGACCTACCATGCCAATGACTTTGCTTGCATCCCAGTTACCTTTTTCAAATGTATTAGTCATATGCTAAGAACTAAATTATAACATAAGACTGCTAATACTGCATTGTAGAGCTTGAAAAATGTACCACACATGCATAACAGCTACATCTACACACACAAAAAAATAAGCTATCCTTTTCTTGTACCCAGTAAGATGCAAGGGCTTCCCCTCTCCCAAAACCCTAGGAAAGAGGGTGATAGAATTTCTTCTATGGCATTGGCCAGGCCCAGATCCTTCTTAGGAGGTCAGTGTTAGTATTCAAACTCCTGAAACTCATTCAAACACTTTTACTTCTTCAGACTGATGAAGGAAAGCAGTCATTTTTCTTGCCCCTGAGCGTGTCAATTTCATTCAATTTCTGCTTAGGGAGGCTTTGCTCACTAGTAGCTGCACTAGAACTAGAAAATGAGGAAGAGAATTGCCTGTTTTTACATTCAGAAAATAATTAGCAGTCATAAACAGCAGGAACATTCACTGTTTTAAAAAAGGAAGATCAAAATCTCAGAAATGTTCCTTTGCTCACCAATCTGAACAGTATTTTTTTTAAAGATTTGCATTATACTAGCAACAGTCAGCATATTACAAGAGCATATAATAATCCTCAAGATACAGCTAGGAAAACTCCTGCAAAGTCAGGAGAACATTAATTTTATATTTCTTCTCTACATCCTCCTGTCATTTTCTACCATTGTTTATGAGAGTTGCTTAGCATCATGTTAAAGAAAAATCCTCCAGAAACTGAAGATTCTTATTAGAATTAAGTTCCATATTTTTTGCGATTTATAACTATATGCTGTTATGTACACCTTACTTCTCTTGTGTGACTAAAGGAGAATTGTCTAAGTTATCAGCGTTATAACTGGTGGATTCAAGTGACAGATTCCAATATAGGGCTATTGTTTTTCTTTTAAAATTTGAGATCATAAAGCAGCTTCATTATTTGTTATAGTAGAAACAGTATCTGTAGGACACAATTGATATACAAGAAACCCAGGATTATAAGCATCATGATTTCCAAGGAACGAGAAACTTACCAGTCTAAATTATTTCTGATCATTCTGGAGAAAGTCAAATAAGCGGCCTTACCTGCCCCATTGGTGGTCCTCCCATTGGAGGCATCATCTGAGGCATCATACCATGTGGAACTGGTGGCATATTTGGTGGTCTCTGGCCCATGGGGTGCATCCCCATGGGTGGATAGTGAGGCATGCCTGGGTGACCCATCTGAAAGACAAAGTTAATAAATGAAAAATATTGATATCAAACATGAAATGCAAAAATTACAGAAATATCTCAATGGATATACAAACATTGCCTTACATGCCAGTTTAGTGTTGACTGAGGAAAATATGTAGAAAATTCACTACATCAAAGCATTTATGTATTCATGATGTACACGAATGGACTATAACTACCATAAGTTGTCAAAAACGTACAGTTAACAAACCTAGTTAAAAATTCCAAAACAATGGAAAAAAATATATTCCCGCAACTTGCAAATTAGCATGCACAAATCCAACAAACCAAAAGGATAAAAATATTTTCACACATGGCTCTGACTGCTCAATGAAAGCATTGTGCATGTCATGGAACTCATTTGATAGATTATAAAATCTCTTCCTTTTTATGATTAAGTTTATAGTTAATACATCTTCTGCATCTATACTAGCTGCAGTCTATTTCTCGATGCATTTTCTAGAAACAAGCATAACTATAGGGCTTTTTATGGACATTAAACTTTTTAGTAGGAGTGGACTGATTGAGATTTTTGGGGCTGATACAGATAGCTGATATTTAAGGAGGCATATTGGCTGATACTGATCCAATTTCCAACCAAGCTGCCTCCAGTTGGGGGCAGGGCCAGGCACTGCCCAGGCGGGGCAGGCTCCCACGGCTGTTTGCACCCTGGGAGGGTATGTCCCCCAGATTTGCACAGGGCAGGGCAGGTTGCAGCCAGGGCTGCACAGGGCTCTTCTTGGCAAGGGCTGGGCTCAGAGTGGATGCCAGTGTTACTGGGAAGATGCTGCATCCATCCCAAATTTCACCATTGCTCCACTCCCATTGCCACCGCTGCCAGCCAGCCAGCCCCTGCAGCCCTGGCTCTTCCCAGTACATAGGTGGAGGCAGGGCATTGAGATGGGGCTGAGCTGGGCAGCTGCAGTGTTGGGAGTAGAGCAGCAGTGAAATCTGGGATAGATACAGCATCCTCCCAGTGCTGCCAGCACCCACTCTGAGCCCAGCTCCCGCTGAGAAGAGCTCTCAGAAGTAACTTGGGCCGAACAACCTGCAATACTAAGCCAAGATCCCGGAACCCCATCCTGGGTAACAAGTGAGGCGCGACTGGGAAAGTTTCAGTTGGCGACAAAAGAGGCGCGAACTGAACAAAAACAGAGATGATGTCAAGTAGTTTTGAACTCTTGAGCAATTCTGAGCCTGGCAGCAGGGCAGGAGTCACTCGTCTGCATCCTGACACAGACAGCCAGAGGGGGAGAGGGATGAGTGCCCCCTCTGTTAGGGCTGGCACCTGTTCCTGTCCTCCCCGCAGGTGGGAGGGTCTGTCCCCACACTGGGAAGCCCTCCCTGGACAGCAGAGCTGGGGCCCCAGGACCAAGCACTAGGCGCCCCCGCAGCAGTCACGTGAGGCCCTTCGCCCCCGAGGGGCACCTCGACGGCGGCCGAGAAGGACCGAGGCTGGCGCGCGCAGAACCGTCCCGCCACGGTCCCTCCCCCTCGCCCCGCCCCCCGGCTTAACCCTTCACTCACCATGAGAGAGCGGTCTCCTCCCGGCCTCATCGAGGGGTTGAGCAGACTGCCCCCGCTGCAGCGGCCGAGCAGCCTTCCCCGGAGCT